GACTCCGGCTAACGCGAGGCCCACCCAGCTACCACCCGCCCTCGCTGACGCAAGTCTACTCTCGGCCCTCGAAAAACATGAACTCGGCGCCAGGACGATTTCCTTGCGACAATTGCGGCAAAGTGTACCGCTGGTACCGCAACTTGACGACCCACCGAAAAATCGAGTGTGGCAAGGATCCCAACATTGTCTGTCCGTACTGCCCGAGACGAACGAAGCACAGGAACAGCATGCGCTCGCACATACGTAGAATCCACAAGGTTGCCATTTAAGGCCCGAGTACTCGTTTGAACTTGGACAACCGGCCGATACCTCGAGTTTTAGGATCTTACTGTTGTTATTTTTTTTTGCAGAGTATTATACAGGTTACTGCTATAAGTACCCAAGCTTGTAGTTCGCCAAGTATTAGTTGGACTTTGTTTTTCCGGTTCTATTGTCTGTTTATTTTTTCAAGTACCATATCACAGATTTTCCTTCTTTTTTTCTTGGTATTTATAGAGTTGTTATCATTGTTATTATTATCATATTATTATTATTATTATTATACTGTTATTATAAACAAGTGAGTGTACATTAACTGCATGTATACATGTATTGGGAATTTTTATCTTATTAACGAGCTCATGTATTGTTGAAGTTTGTTAATCCAGAAGTTAAATAAAGGTATTGAATTTTTTCAGCTTTTGATCGTGCGTTGTCTTTTTCATAATACCAGAAAGATTCGCCAATACTTGTGCTTTTTTCATGAAAATTCGTATTTTTCTAATGGTTTACTAACTTTTTCAGGTGACGGCTGGCCAATGAGAGATTCTCGAGCAACGAGTCATCGACGTTACATTGCGATTTCGAGCACATGAAAAATTCTCACATACCATCAATACACATTATTCACGTAGAATCGATATTTTTCTTTTATTTTTTCAATTTTTATTTCAATTGTGTAAAACAATCTTACGTATAACATAACCCGTGCATCCTAATAGTGTGTATGTCATCTTGTCCACGTCAGCATGCATTTGGTGATCATAGTCAAAAAGAAAGAACAAAAAAAAAAAAAAAAAACCATGTCTTATGCTTTTACAGAGACTCCGCTCTTTCCGATCGTAAGGCCACGCCTGCACGTTTGTCCGCGCTGCGGTCAAATGTACTCCTGGGCCTCGAATCTCCGAAAGCACCTGAAGATGGGCTGCGGCATGGTCACGTCAGAGACCCAGTTCTCGTGCCGTTTCTGCCCGTACAGGTCGCGGGTCGAGGCCAGCTTCATCAAGCACCTGATGTCAGTGCATCAGATCAAATAGGACGTGGCTTCCGGTTTCGCTGACATGATCGAGAGATTGATACACATATCGGGGTTTTGAATTTTTTTTTTTTTTCGCTGTGTGTGTGTGATTTCATAAGAGTTGGTTTCATTGTTACTCTGGTGTTTTTCTCTATATTAATGGGAACGATATTGTGTAGTCAGCGAAATTGTTGGCCCATCCCACGTCCTTTGCTAGTCTGGATAATGATTCGTGACGGAGTTTACGATTAAATAGGAGTTGTGTTGATTTATAGTTTAGACAATCTTCTAGTCCACACGTAAAATAAGTCAAAGCAAACGTTACGATGGTTAATTAGGGTAGGAGAGCATATTGTAACTTGAGAATCTTAAAATATAAGTAATCTAGTCGAATGTTCGAGTCAATTAGCCTAGAAAATATTGGGTGTTGAGTTGAAAATATTTTTTCATTATTAATACCATGGAAGACGAACAACTTAAAGTTCCTCAATCAGCATGAAAAAAAGTGTCCAGGCGAAAGATAGATTTTTTTTCAATGTATCAAATTAGAACCTGTACAATGGTAGCAATGTAAAAATTACTATTGTATACAAAAATCTCTCATTCAATTTTTTATGAGTTTGTTTCATTGAAATAAATTATGTTTACGTGTTTTAATTTACATATTTACCGTTAATTTGTAGTAATATATTCTATTTTTATTACTTAATATATTTAAAATGTACTGAATCTTTTGAGTATTTATATTACAAACAATCAAGTCACTATGGTGTTATCGCATGCTCACGTAATCATCATATTCATATCATGCGTAAATCAGCTTTGCTCTGAATCAAACAATCAGCTTTATCCTGCAGCATAGAATAACATTTAAATGTAAGCATAGTCATAAGAATTAAAAATCAAAATATGATGTAACCCTTTTTTTTAATTTTCCTAATAAATGTGTGTAAATAAACAACTACATATGATGTATATTTTCATCGCTCATCTTAATTTAAATTTTTTATTTTGCACCCAGCATTCATTTGAATAATTTTTTTTTATACCCACATGTGTGTATTGTCGAGTTTATACTAACACAACTAATCAAAACCACTAAAACTTTTTAAATAGAGTTAAAAAATCTTTTTCTGAAAACTTACTTTTATAAGTGTTAATTTAATCTATAATAACACTCACTTACATAAATTCTTTTCTAACTCACTAACACTTTTGTAACATAAACTTAGCATCATACTGGCATGTTCTCAAGCTACACACGAACCACCAGACCATAAATCTATTGTCGAGAACTGAAAAAAAAAAAAATTATTTAAACTAATTAAATTTCGTTTTATCTTTCAGATGAGTCGTCATTCGACGTCTTCGATTCTAACCAACTCGAAATCTCAATGCTAGACTCGAAATACACGTGCGTCAAATGTCACCAGATATTTGTCTCGCAGTCAGCTCTCGGCAAGCACTTGCGTTATTGCTTGAACAAGAAGAACTTTTCTTGTCCTCTTTGCACTTACAGCAGCAATCGCAAGTGGAATGTCAAGTCGCACATCGAACGCGTACACGCGCGCTGCTTTGACATTGACAAGGACGAATAGTCGATCCGCGTGGTTCCTTTGTTTTATTTTACGTTTATTCCTTGTGTAATCGGTTTGATTAATCCGCATGTAAAGTGTTTTTTTGAGCAGCGCATAAATTTAACTAAATAAACCTACAAGTTGTAATTTGATGTCTACGGTTGTAAAGATTGTACAAATCTTTTTAGCTATGCGTTTGAGAATAATTGAGCTATAGATAATAATATAAATACAGGATATATATATATATATATATAAATATTGTTCAATAGAAGTAATGTATAAACGCACTGTTCTTTGAGACTCAAACAGTGTACCAGTGCATTNTAAGAAATTTTAGGATATATATATATATATATATATAAATATTGTTCAATAGAAGTAATGTATAAACGCACTGTTCTTTGAGACTCAAACAGTGTACCAGTGCATTTGATCAAAAGTATTCCTTTTACTATTATATTTATTGATAGTTTGATTGTGAGACAGTTCAAGTTTTGAAGTTATATTTTATTACGCATATATTTAATTAGGAAAAACAATATGTGAATAAAATAAATATGGATTTTCATTACAAAAATTCGAGAATTTCATTATTATCGTCACCAATACTATTAAAAAAATGAAACAATATCCTTTGTGGCCAGGCAGTTACTATGTGAATTGTTTTTTCCTATCGTTAACATTAAACTGAAATGGTGTACTACAAAGTTTATAAATGTCTACTAAGAAGTTTTTTTTTTTTTTTTTTCAAATCAATATGCAAAACCACTGAAAGTACCGGTAATTTACCAAATAATGTTTTATGTGTGAAGGTTTGCTAAATACATTTACTGATTAATTTTCGACTACAAATATGAACTAGAATCATCATTAACATACATGTGCATTGGCCGAAAATCTAGCTTATTTCATGAGAACATAATCGTTTAATCACCGCCACCACTTTTGCAATATCAACCATGACAAACAAACAAACCACACTAAATAAATATTCACTAAACAAAAAAAACAAAAAAAAACAAATTTTAATTATTTTTTCAGGTATAAATGCTACGCACAACTACCCCAACCGCAACAACCAGCGTATTACGTATACCTGCCACAATTGTAACAAAACATACAACTACCATTCGAGTTTGGCACGTCATAAAAAACTGGAATGCGGACTTGAGCCTAAAATACATTGTCCGCTGTGTTCCTACAGGACAAAGCATCGCTCGAGTCTTTTGATACACATCAATGGCAAACATCTAAAGATTAAAAGCTAAGAGTTAACAAAAACGGGACAGTTTGCCGGGAACAATAAGAAATTTGATGTCAGCAATCATTCTGTAAAAATGTTCTTGCAAGTAGACATCAATAGTAGTCTGCGACAGACGTTTATGTATTAATGTCATAGTTTTCTGCTTATTTGGTTGTAACAGTATAAGAAATAAAACGAGAATCACTGTACCAAAAATTATTGCTAACCAATGTTGAACATTATTTCTAACGTGATGAGTCATTTTAAATGTTCAAGAGTACCGTTGCGTATGACTAGTAATCGTTTGAAATTCACATATATTTTGTCAACTGTTTTTTATCTTTTTTTTATCACTTGATGAAAATTTGAAAATTTGATAGTCATTCGCTAGCCAATCACGGTCTATAATTTATTTTAGTATCCAAATCATATGAAATGTATTGCTTGGCCCTTTATTTGATTTAGTATTGTAAATCATGTGTAGGGAAAAAAAAAAAAAAAAAAAAAAAAAAAAAGAAATAGCTAAACACGGAGTTGAGATCGACTAAAGCACTCCTTCTTTCTCTCGATTGCAGGTGCCCGAAGACTCCGGCTAACGCGAGGCCCACCCAGCTACCACCCGCCCTCGCTGACGCAAGTCTACTCTCGGCCCTCGAAAAACATGAACTCGGCGCCAGGACGATTTCCTTGCGACAATTGCGGCAAAGTGTACCGCTGGTACCGCAACTTGACGACCCACCGAAAAATCGAGTGTGGCAAGGATCCCAACATTGTCTGTCCGTACTGCCCGAGACGAACGAAGCACAGGAACAGCATGCGCTCGCACATACGTAGAATCCACAAGGTTGCCATTTAAGGCCCGAGTACTCGTTTGAACTTGGACAACCGGCCGATACCTCGAGTTTTAGGATCTTACTGTTGTTATTTTTTTTTGCAGAGTATTATACAGGTTACTGCTATAAGTACCCAAGCTTGTAGTTCGCCAAGTATTAGTTGGACTTTGTTTTTCCGGTTCTATTGTCTGTTTATTTTTTCAAGTACCATATCACAGATTTTCCTTCTTTTTTTCTTGGTATTTATAGAGTTGTTATCATTGTTATTATTATCATATTATTATTATTATTATTATACTGTTATTATAAACAAGTGAGTGTACATTAACTGCATGTATACATGTATTGGGAATTTTTATCTTATTAACGAGCTCATGTATTGTTGAAGTTTGTTAATCCAGAAGTTAAATAAAGGTATTGAATTTTTTCAGCTTTTGATCGTGCGTTGTCTTTTTCATAATACCAGAAAGATTCGCCAATACTTGTGCTTTTTTCATGAAAATTCGTATTTTTCTAATGGTTTACTAACTTTTTCAGGTGACGGCTGGCCAATGAGAGATTCTCGAGCAACGAGTCATCGACGTTACATTGCGATTTCGAGCACATGAAAAATTCTCACATACCATCAATACACATTATTCACGTAGAATCGATATTTTTCTTTTATTTTTTCAATTTTTATTTCAATTGTGTAAAACAATCTTACGTATAACATAACCCGTGCATCCTAATAGTGTGTATGTCATCTTGTCCACGTCAGCATGCATTTGGTGATCATAGTCAAAAAGAAAGAACAAAAAAAAAAAAAAAAAAACCATGTCTTATGCTTTTACAGAGACTCCGCTCTTTCCGATCGTAAGGCCACGCCTGCACGTTTGTCCGCGCTGCGGTCAAATGTACTCCTGGGCCTCGAATCTCCGAAAGCACCTGAAGATGGGCTGCGGCNAAAAAAAAAACACTAACATTATTGAAACTCGTGTAACTTGTTCCTTGACAAGAAAACAGTCCGTGATATAATACAATATTCCTCATTACTAACCACACGCATCTCTATTGTGTTTCAGAGGTAAGCCCGTGGTCATCGCAACAAACTAATATTGACGAGCCGTCAAAGTTTTGTTGTCAAACCTGCGGACGTGGCTACAAAAAGAAAGTCACCCTTTTCCGACACCTCAGGTATGAGTGCGGAGGACGCAAGAGCTTCTTGTGCCACTTATGTCCTGGAAAATTTACTCAAAGTGGCTCTCTGAGGCAGCATCTCTTTAAGGTTCACAATTTTTATATTCCACCACAAAAGAAGAAACGCTTGTTCAAGGATTCATAGTCATCTAGATCTACATTCCATTTTTGCCGATTATAGAGGAAAAATTCTTTTTTAATTTCATAAGGTGCTCATCCAGTTACTTGTAGATAGTAATAGGCAAACTGCAAGCCGAGGCAGAGTTCAAACTTTTTTTCGACTCTTGACCAACACAACATATCCACCTTTCCAATCGTGTATCACAATTTCAAGAAAAGTATTCAACTTAAAGTTTTTAGTCTGACAAAAAAAATCCATTCCCATTTAAACGAGCAACACGAAATTATGACTAAATTGTTAATTTTAGTGTTAGTTTAATTTGAGTTATATTTTAGATATTGTTGGAATGATGTGTGCTATACTCGACCGTGCTAGTTGTGTTTGGATCGGCATCCGTTAGTCTTGCACCAGGCCATTTGTTGCACCGAACGTGCTAAAAACACTCAACAAATGTTATTTACTGGTGTCGAGACTTGCGGGGTATCTGCTTGATTTTCGAGCCGAGAAATGTTGGTTTAATTTTAATTGCTGTAAAACATATATTATGTTATATGATTTTCAACTAACATAAGTATTTTTGCAAAACATTTATTTATTATTTATTATAAGCTTTGGTGTTCTTGGGAACTTTTATGCAGCCATGGGATTGTTATTAACACTAAGTAGGACATTTACGTTAAAATATATGTTATTTATCTATACTAATACCGAAGTATTGAATAGTATTATATAAAGATTTTGTTATAAATGTTGTTATTGTGAATTTTTTAAATGTTAATCCAGTATTATTCCTGTCAATCATTGTCAATAATGTATTAAATTAGTAGCTATTAGACAATAGCATAGATAGTTATTTGATCATTGTCATATATGCCATTCCATTGTCGTTTTGTTTTAATAAAATAAATATTTACTTGAAAAAAGTATAAGGCCTACTTTTATTGAATTCCACTTCTTTACCAACCAAAACTTCTTGATCGATGGAATGCGCTTGTAGAGAACATTTTGTGATGAAAACAGTGTCTATCTTTGTAAGAAATTTCTAATATGTTTTTTGGTATTGATCAATGATTTAAATTTTTTTTATCAAAATCTGAATGTTCTTCTAAGTAGTGACGACCCATCGTAACCCTACCTTGATTCGCCTATTTCAGATTTTTTTCACAGTTAGTCTGACTCATCGAGAAAAAAAAGCATTGTTTTTCACACAGAAGATTCATTGTCATCACTTATAAAACACATCAATCTAAGCATCTCATCGATCCCAATTTTTTTGTTCTAGATGTACAACTTTATACCCACATGCTGTCGAATGAAGTAATAAACCAGTGCAAATTCAGCTTACGCTGTCTAAAGTGCAGCCAATTCTACAGCAACTGGAGTCACCTTCGGACGCACATGGATTATTTTTGTCAAGTCGAGCCGCTATTTCCATGTCCTTTCTGTTCTCATCGCGCACGACTGAAATATCTCCTCAGAAGCCATATCAATCGCGATCACTAAATCGCTAGGATTTACTAAGGCAAAAAAAATTCTCATGAGTTAGCATCAGACTGTTTTGTGGCTATTAATAGAAGAAATTTTACTTTTTTCCAGAAAAAACTGTTTTTTGTATTTTTCATGTACTGATAAGAGCGACCAAAACTTGTTTCGACTCCAAGTGGATGAATTAAAATTTTTAGCTTAAAAAAAAACAATTTGTTCTTAATGTGCATAAATTATTACAGCTAAAGTAAAGTAAAAATTCTTTATTCATTATTGTGATTGAACAAAAGGCGCTACAATACTTCTCTGTCTAATTATTAAATGAATCAAACTAGGCTCATCATCCATCATCGAAAAATGCTTTGAAAACAAATACTTACTAACGAAAATCACCGGAAATTTTTCTGTTTCAGAGAAGAATTCCATGTCAACGTGGATACACCCGGGAATTCAACAGTTGACATCAAACACGTACTTAAATCAGAAAACTTGGAGGTTCTCCATTGGTACTTACAAGTGCAGCGCTCGCAAGTATCACAGCACCTTCAAGACAAACGTCAAGCGCCACGTGAGGAACGTACACGGCGACCACAACAGTTGCACTCATTTCTGCGACTATTGCGATTTTAGTAGCAAGTACAAGTCCTGCGTCAAAAGGCTTTTCATAACAAAATTATTCAACCGAAGGATGTTTAAGCGTACACTTTTTTAGGGGTGTATCATGTGTTTTACTGTTTTCATCGTTGCATTCCAGCGTAAAAATACTTTATCCGTGCTTAATATAGAGGAAAATCTGTAACTTCTGTTAATTAATAAATTTTTTTGTAACTAATAATGTCTGTTTTTTTAATAATTTCTGCGTCAAACTTGAGACAAATATATCATAGACATGGTTAAAGTAGTGCTTAAGCATTAACATTTATACTAGATTTAACCAAAAAATGATCCCAAAATAGTAGCACAGCAAACTAAATTCGGAATATCTGATGATAGTTTCATCAAACAATCACAACTGACCTTTCGTAAATCATAAGCTTGCCAGCTTGTTTAGCTTCATTGATACTCTATTTTCGTAAATCAAGCATCTTCCTCCTTTAACTTTGCAAAACGGTAGACACGCAACTATCTCAAACGCAAGCCTAAAAAAATCTACCGGCGCAACGCTTGCATATTATTTCCAAGGCTAAAGAAAACACCCTTAGTAGAGCCCAAACTCTGGTTTAACTTGTGTTTGTCTAATTTCAGCCTATCGCAAGACATATGCGGGCGAGCAGATGCTCGGCTACACGTGCACCAAATGCTCCAAGTTCTACAAGATGTGGAGCAATTATCTGAAGCACAAGTGCGAGGCTCCGGAGTTCAAGTGTCTGATGTGTCCGTTTGCAGCCTTCAAGTCCTTCATTTTGCACGCGCATCAGGTTGAGCAGCACTTTTCGAGACTGAACGATCGTAGCAGTGCCCAGAAGAAAGACGACAAGCAGAACTGAAGAGTTTTATTTTTTTTGTCCTTTTTTTTTCTTCTTGTGCTTCTTCCTTTCTTATACCTTCAAACAACAAATCTTTGATGACTCTAAGGTGGAAAATTTTTAAGCCGTCTCGACTCGAATTTATTTTTAGTTGAACATTAATTTAAAAAAATTTCTATGTACCAAAAATCTTAAAATCATTTATTTTTTGTTATCTCAAAAATATGTTGTTTCAAAGTCATAAGAACCTTAGGATCATTAAAAAATAATCTTCAAATAAGTAAGCCGTTCTATGTACAATGATGTACAATATATAGGTGCTACTGAAACGATGAAAGAGTCCAGTCTTAAACTTTCCTGGTCGTTTCTATTATTTTAAATACAACTTTTAGTAACTTTTATTTCATAATGTAACCTGAAAAAAAATCACATACAATTTCTGACTAATAGTACGTCAATTTTGTGATGAAAGAATTTCAATTGAACAACCGTGGTTACAAATTTTTTACCTTAATGCGCAAAATCCATGTAACGCGATTATAATTAAAAGCTTTTCATTGTTATATTTAAGAGTAGTAATAAGATTATTATTGATAAACATGATAGACTGACGAAAAACAAAAATTTGTCTTTCAATTAAAAAAATTAACAAAAAANTTTTTATATCAAATACAAAAAATACACAACACGTAATTTTTTTTGGTCAAACTATTTTATTTCTAGTAGTAAGATTATTCCACTACCTATGATAATAAGTAAGATAACTATAATGCATTTGCCAAATACAATGCAAGGAAAAACAACTACCTAAACATACTCATTCCTTAAATAAGCCAACAGAGCGTCATAAATGTTTAATTTTACTACAAAACTAGCCAATATACTATGTACAATAAATTTCATTAGACTATGTTCTACTTCGAAAACATCCAATTTTTCTAGATACTGCTTCGCTGCAGTAACGAAGCTGTAAATTTTAGGCATAATTATATGCAAACTTAGTTTTTAGTTTATATGAAATTCCACAAGTCGAGGCTATTTGAATTTTTTATCGATTAATCAAGCATATTCTTTGACAAGTTTTTATGAATAATTTTTTAATAGTTTAAGCCATAGGTTAAAATACTAATTATCATTGCGATAAAAATTATTTTGTAATCATTTTTAATTATGCACTCATGCTTCTCTATATGAGTTGCACATTAGTTAATGTAAAATATTACTCATAGAGTGTGTATTAAATTGTTTTTATTTTTTTCTTTTTAGGTTCTTATTCCACAGAACTGGATTAGACTTGACAAATGTTAAAATTAAACGTAAAGTTACAAAATGCAAACAGAAATATTCATCAAGAGAATAACAACTGTGATTTATCCAAGTCAATGTTTAAATTATTAATTTATTTGAAACAATAAATAACCCTAAAAGCGTATACTCCTAACGTATGTCATCATCTTTAAAATAATAAGTTGGTTTTTCTATTAATAAATCAGAATAAATTATTTTCTTACCTTTCGAAACAATGGCATAAACGATTTATTTATTAATATCCTCATTAGATAAATATGTGGTAAAACTGTTTCATTTTGCTGTATTTTCTGCTTTGTTGAATTTTAAGTTTAGCTACAGTAGTTTACAATTGTTTTTTTTTGGCTTATTAGTAAACAGTTTTTTTTTTTTTTTTTCTTAGCAAAGTCTTTATGCTGTATTTAGAGGATCTCACTTTCAAAACTGCCTTACCTCTGCTAAAAAGTGTTCGTCATTAGTTAAAATTTTTTAATTTTCAAAGCTGCTTCGTTCATTGCCTTAAAACACAAAATACAATTGAAAGACGTATTTTTATAAGAAAAAAAAGCTTTAATTCGATTGTGATAGAATCATCGAAATAAAAAAAAAAGATTTGATTTATTGTTCCACTTATTTATTTTAAATTTTATGAGTATATTTTCGACTGACAATGCACTTGAAAGGAGAGTATTTGTGATAATACTGGGCCATATTTTTTATTTTTCATTCATTTATTAGTTTACACTCTTTTCAATCCTTAATTGTTTGTATCTCATAACCTCATTTGTTTAGTTATGTACTTCAAAATATAAGTAACTTTTTTTAGTTATTTTTTCGTATTATGTATCGTATGTATCCCATTTGCATTAATAAATATGTACATGTATGTACAAACTTTGTTTATTTATTTACATTTAAATAATGAAATTCTCCCGTTGTATTTTCATCCAGTTAAATCTTAATAAAAACTCGTATTAATTGTATTATTTTATATTCCAGGCAATTAAATCGATCATAATGTTGTTTTTCTCACCATGAGTATGGCAAACTTCAATCCCACATCATCGGCAACTCAATGGCAATGTCCGATCACTGATTTTTCAAACTATTTATATGCTGTACGAAAATTTATAATAATTAAAAACACCTAAAACTTTGTTTTGTACAACAATATTATTATTACAATAAGAACCAGTCATACTTGTTATAATTGTTTTTACCACACATTTCTAGTAATATATTAATAGTTAAATACTATTAACAAATATTTAATAATTTATTTTTTTTATCGATTGTTTCATACTTACAAATAATACTGTAGTGATTGTAACATAGATTTAATTAAACAAAAAAATATCTATTACTTATACCTGCGTAAAACAATTTTTGTCAATTTTATTTGTAAATACATGGTGATACGGTACAAAAATTCCAATTAAAGCTTACAAACTCTAACTCTAACTAAATTATGAAATCAATTTAATCGAACCCATCTTCATCACTGGTACTATATTTTTTTCAGGTTTTTGGCAGCCAAAATCAATCTACATGCCATCTACCTCTCAACTAGTTAATCCTCAACAAGCAAAGTTTAGGTGCTTGAACTGTGGCCGACAGTACATGAGATTGTCGTGTTTGAAACGCCATGAAAAAGTGGAGTGCGGCCAACGACCAAAGTTGCAATGCCACATCTGCCAAAATTGGTTTATGTACAAGCACAACCTGACAGCTCATTTAAAGCAGCATGTCGAGGAGCCCACTTTCGCTTGTGCTTTCTGTCCTAAGAAATTTTACCGACGTGATAAGCTCATTACTCATGAAAAGAGACACGCATTCACGTAGTTTTAGAAATTCGCACATCATTTATGATGGAACTAAGTCAAAAATATTTTTATAAATTGTTTTATCTACAGTATTAAGTTTATACTGATATTTTTGTGTTTTACTGAATAGTAATTATTTTTTGTTACAACTTTTTTAAACTTATATAATACTTGTATGCGAAAATTTACTATCCATACGATAAGTCTGCAATTTTTAACCACTAAAACCATCCATTAATACAAAGTATTGTACTTACATGTTCTCAAAGCTAGTTCAACGATTGAAACGTATTTCTCGAAACAGGAATTACATATTAAATCAAAATTTAGGAATTTATCCAAGCATTTGAGAACGAGAGAATAACTTCATTTGCGAATAATAAAGATGTCGATTAACTAAGATTTTAAAATAGGTAGTTATCACGTGTAGATACGATTATTTTGATTATTTATTTTTTGTTTACTTCGTTAAATATAGAGACAATAATAATAGTTGATATTCTGGAGTATAACTATTTAAGAAATGTTGTTAAAAATTTATTGAAGATACTATAATGTTGATTTCAAAATTTGTATAACACCAATAAAGGTAACATTTTATTAAATCATTGTTTGTTTTTTTTTTTACAATACNCTTACTTAGAAATACTAATTTTTTATTTGTTTCAATCAGCTTTAATTAAAAATATTTTGGCTGGAATGCTTTAACTGGGAGTAATTAAACAAATAATTTAATTTGTTAATGTTTATCTTTTTAACGAATCATTTCTTTCGGCTTCTAATTATTGCACTTGAATGAGTCAAACCAGAGCTTTGTATTTTTAGGATTTAAGTAGAAAAAAAATGTGGGTAGAAGTAAACTAAAATGTACTACACTTACTTAATAAGAAATAATTATTTAGCTATTAATATATAAGTAATTATCAAAGTAATTCACCTGGTGAAACGATAAAGTAACGTCTAAAATGTCCATCTAATTAAGCTGTGAGAAAAGATCAAAAAGCCTTGGTGTTACGTGCCTTTATGTATGTACCATTTAGATTTAGATTATAAAATTGGAGACGTTGAATGTAGCATTTCGAAACATTTCCTGATAAATCAATGTTTTAAACTAAAATATATATATTTTTTTTTTCTAATGTTTATGCATTTCTCAAATCATTTTCAATAATTTTGGTACTCAAGAAACTCTTTCACTAATTATAAAAAATAATTTGAAATGTCCCTCACTCCTGATAGTTCAGATACTTTAATTTTTAGATAAGTCTGGAAACTATTTTGATTTTTTGACTCGTTTTGTCGACAAAACGAGAGGGATATTCTAAGGCTTTTGTTAATTACATGGTCCATTTTATATTTTCTGTAAAATGTAGTAAAGAAATGAAATTTAATTTTTTCATTCATCAATATATCTGCTTAACAAACTATTTTACAAAGGAAGTCCATAGATAATGTGTAAAGCTGGGCACATGCGGTTAGCTTATTCTTTTTCAAAATTCAAGTAATATCTACATTGACTATCAGTAGCTGCTTTGGGCGGAAAATTTCAAAGATTGCTTTTTATAGGTTTACGCAAACGACGGATAATTCGAAAATAAGCTATACACGCCCATTTCTCTCTCTCTTTTTCCATAATACTAATATAAAATCATATAAATAAATGTCTGCGACGCCGCCGCGCCGTATGTGAAATAAAATACAAAAATGAAACTTCAACTCGAAAATCTGAAATTTTCACTCGCAAGGTTAACGATAACGACGCTTGCGCGAAATTCAGTAGAAGGGCTGGTGTTGCCCAGGCTTAGCTGGGCAAAGGTTTTTCCGTACTAACACTTCCTGGCTTGCATTATGTTACAGCCGAGGATCTGAGTATCGCGACGAGCTTGAAGTGGGCCGAAGCCTGGCAGAAGCTCGCCGAGAACGTGCCTTCAATCATGTGGCGCTCGAGCCTTGAGCTAAGCAAGGGCTTGAGTTTGGACAACTCGTTGGGCAGCGGTACGGGCGAGGGTTTCAGCTGCTCCAACTGTGGCCGCGTCTACAAGCTCAAGAGCAGCCTGAGGAATCACCGGAAGTGGGAGTGCGGCAAGGAGCCCCAGTTCCAGTGTCCGCACTGCGTTTATCGAGCCAAGCAGAAGATGCACATCTCGCGGCACATCGAGCGTATGCACAAGGACAAGCTTTACAAGCAGGAGATCGTGTAATTTTGCAAATACATACGATGTGTACGTCGCTAATGGAAAATACGACAGACTGTGCCTGACGATTTTTCGTTTTAACGACACGTGAATGCCGCGTTGAGATGATTTTTATAGTATTTTTCTGCCGGCGTTGCAAATACTTTTCACGCTGAACCTTACATGAAATATAAAGTATATTATCTTGCTCGGGGCCATTTTCGATCCTGCATTGGGGATTTCAAGCTAAATTTTGCGATTTCACGAGTGTGATGATGCTTGATGATGAATAGGAAATTCGAGAGGCGTATTTTGAAATTTTGAAAATTTTAATAAAGTATGAATAATACTTTCGTGCAATCACTTTTGGATCAGAGACAAAAAACTCTTTTGGCATGAGGTAACAAAATTTGCTGTGATAAAATACGCTGGATCGTAAAAATTGTTTGGGTTGACGAAACGTGGGGGAAAAATTGAGCATTTTGAATTTTTTTTAGTTAAAAATTGAACATGTAATAAGATGAAAAATCTGCATTTTAATTGTAAAAATGATTATTTGATATTAATACCTTAGGCTATCCAAATAAATACATAGCTTCGAGCTCGAACAGTTCTCATAAACTCTTCCATAGCAACCATTCTGGTCACACTGGTTCCATATTTTTTAAGCATTTAAAATGAACATTACTGTGCGCATGTTGGCTTACGTTATATCTGCACATCGTCACTACATGTGCGGCATAGATTACTGAAATATACTCGCTGTAAATAGTTTCATGCATACCTACCCATTTATTTATTGCATAATGAATATTTTTTACCGTTTTCACCATAAATGCTAATTCTCTCATATGTTGTAATATAAGACTGATTTTAATATAGAGTGCAGTTTATTTAGTTATTTTATTTATTTATTTTT